TGTGTTCTTAGCCAACTTGTGCAAAGTACAAAAGGATGATCCCATGGAACACTCCTTTTCGCGAGGAAGACCTACAGACATTTGAGTCTCTGGCAGAGAATGGCGGGCCACAGCCCGGTGACGAGGCGTCCGAGTATGAAGCCCTCGACGAAGTTTCCGTGCAAAAGCAAGCCTCCGTGCAAAAGCAAGCCGTCGAGGCGCCGGCTAAGTCCAAGTCCAAAACAGGTGTGGGCCTCATGCTGTTGCTGTTGATGGTGAGTGGCGTGGTTAGTGGCACAGTGTTGTTTACTGTAAAAACAGGAAAGAATGCGCAGGACAGAGAGCTTGAGCCTTTCCACCTCCCCGTAGAGCCCCACTGTGTACCAGAGGGGAAAACTGCGGAGGAAAAGATAGCCGAAGAGGAGGGAGTATCTTCTGAAGAAGAGCAACCCGGCGAAGTTGCCGAAGTGCCCGAAAGTGAACCGCCACCGCCTGTGGAACATGCAGCAGCAAAGCAGCCTTCGATAGAGGAAAACCTCGAAAAAGTGCAAGAAATTCTTCTAGTAGCAGAAATTGTTGCTGAACAGCTAGACTCAGTGGAGGCCCAGGAGCTTCTAGATAGCGTGCAAGAACAAGTGCGCGAAGCCAACTCGCTGGGCGTCGAGCCACATTTTGCACGTGTCGTGGGGGACTATCTTCAGAAGGCACTGATATATCTCCGTCGCATGCACGGAGTTGCCGTGCAGCGGGGAAAGGTCTTGATGGATCAAGAGGCAAACGTGGATGAGTTTCCTGAGTTGTGGGAGCCCCAGGCAGGGATAGATCTGTCGCCTTTTGAAAAGGAAAAGCGCGATCCTTCCTCCCCAGTGCACCACATGGTGACCGCTTTCAAGTCAATCGAGAAAATGTCATGTGCTCTGCTCGAGTGTTTCGGCAATGTCAGCCAAGCCTTGCTGAACAGCAGGCCATTCGGTGATGAAAGAGATATCGCGTTGTTGACGCAAACTGCAGAGGACCTCCAGTACCTCAACCACAACATCAAGTCACAGAATGCTCTCAACTATCTTGCTACAAGCATAAAACACTGCATTAGTGAGTACCTCAAGGTTAAAGATTCAAAGAAGCTTGAGGATTTACTGCTGACTTCAGAAATCGAAATGATGCAAATACGGGTCCCCGTGAAATTGGCTCTAATCGCATCTAAATTGAAATGGCACGCCCAACCCGAAGAAATAAATCGAATCAAGTCCGCGAGGGAGAAACTTGCAGAGCTTGAGAACGCCATCTCGACGCTGCGCGAGTATGCCCACGAGGAGGCCAACTCGTGGATAGATACATTTCAGATCGTCACTAAAGCACAGGATCATGCCGAAACGGTCGAAGCAATGGTTAGCGCTCTGAAGGAGCAGACAAAGGGTATTCTAGACGACCAAGAAAGCTTGAGCAAAGGCCCCATTGTAAAGGAAGGCGAGAGGATTCAACTTGCCTGCATCTTAGAGAGCGAGAAAGTGCAAAATCTCCTAGAAAATGCAAGATGGAGGGTCGAGAGGTGCTTTGACGGTAGCCACAACCTCTTAGTGAACCGCACACACGAGCTTAACATGGAAGTGTATGAGCAACTGATATCGAGAATACAGCAGGTCAAAAGTGACGTTGAGGCGGAAGTGACTCAATTTCACATTTCATATCAAAATTCCCAAAATGAAGAAGATCCCAAAGCTGCTCTGGATAAGCTTAGATTTCACGCAGAAACTCTGATAAAGCTGGCGAATGCTAAGGGAAAGGCACGTCTATTCCTGCTTCAGAGCACGATATTGGGATTGTTTGAGGAGGAGATAGGCATGCTGCAAACCTCAAGTGATTACGCAAGGCTTTGCGAATTCCGCAATCCCGCCGCTACTGAGCAGATGTCAATCAGAGGAAAGGAATTCGACAACGCATATAGGACTGTCGCAGAAGCGACCACACTAGTAGAAGTGTCACAAGGTTTGGTCAAGTTGTGCTCTGCAGTGTCTTCAATGCACCGCGTCATCGCTGAGCACAGGCTGGGTCAGGAGCGTGAAGCGCTGAAGCCTTCGCCGTAAGCTGTTGAGCCTTCTTTAATGAATTCATTTACTGTTGCCTCAAACCTAAAAGGAGGAGCTCCGTGCAGTCGAATGCAGCCGGATGGAGAGACCAGCATTATCGGTATTCATGCTCCTTTTTCGAACGTGAACAAGGAAGCGACGCGGTTCAGTCCTTCCTAACGACCAACACTTCAGCATATCAAAGTGTACCCACAGAGGAGTGAATGTTTTATTTTTTCCTTCGCAAAGCAAAGGGCGCCTGGAGAGTTTTGTGCGGCTGCGCCTAACGTGAGCCATACAAAGTTAAGGCATCTACTTGGGTCCACGTCAGCAGCACCCAGTTGTTTCCTTCCGCAATGCAACAGCACCACTTTTGAGAAGTTTTATGGACTCAGCCTGCAACCACAGCGAAGGTAAAACGTTTGTTATGGGATCTTCAGAACGGTGCGTGCGCTGCACACAGGATATTGAGGTGAAGTGATAGTTCAATACAGAGATGCAGGGCCACCCAGCATCGTAACTGAGCATAGGCAGATTGATTCCATTAAGTTGTTTCTTGCTGCATATTCCAGGAGTCACGGCGACGCTGTGACACAGCTCGGCTACATGTTTGCTGTACTCTTCATTCAGGGCCCTTTTTAGACAGTGGCGGAGTTATTGTTTTTCTTGTTTAAAATTACGGTGCCTCATGGTATACTTGGAAGAATCGCTTGCGTCTCCGCTCTAGCCTCTTGAATGTAATACACTGCTTTTTGCTTTAGTTAAGGCTTTTTCTTTTGGAAATCAGTCCGACAAACTGGCGAACTGAGCCTTTAAATGAATTGGAAGGAAAGCACATGAGATACTGCACTGATGCGCGACCGTCTAGTTGCCAACTTTGGCATCGAAACTCCTCCACGCATTCAGGCAGCAGCCCTTCTGTGTTCTACTGGAGTAGTTCTAACTTAGCTTATGATTAATCGGCTGGCGAGGCACTAAAGACTGCAGAACTAGCCGGTACCCCGTGTCAGCTGTTTCAGTCAGTCATGTTGTCGCAATTTTTTCGTACGTAGCTTCGCTCCATAGATGTGGGGCCTACAAAGACAAACCTTTTGGAGTCAAAAGTAATGCAAATAGCCTCAGTGAAATGCGTTGCTTGTTTCGCATCTGTAGATTGTCAACGCGTAGCTTGCACCGATTGTTCCTAACACTTCATGGTGGCACTTGAAGCAAGTGCAGGCAAGAGCATCTGCTGCTTTATCAATAAAGGAACTTTGGCAATTCTTCTGGAGCAAGCAATTTTTCGAGATGTAAACCAGCTTGTGTGGTTCACGTGTCGCTTCCCCTTTCACCCAAACCCGATGTATTTCAACGAAAAGCGTGGCGTCTTCCAAGCCTACGGCTCTTTGTTGCTTTTTCAGCGCAATTCACAGGAGGCCACTGGAGTTCGTGACAAATTCATGATGGGCTGCTGGAATATGCTAGTCTTTTGTTACTCAAGTCCTCATTTGAGTTTAAGGAACAGCAGTACATTTCGCACTATACCATGTATCCTTCCTATGATTGATGTTTTCGCATAATACATCTACACAGAATCAAACATTAAACTTGGCATATAGTAGAATGAGTAAGGGAGAGCTACAAGCACTCCAGTGGACATCGATGATCCTTGAAACGAGTGGCAAGGTGTCTACAACCTGAAAAAGTGGAAAGTGGCGAGGGAGCGACCTGCACGCCGAGAATGGCGAGATTTCAGCAGCCAGGATGCAGGGATCCAAAGTGAAGTTAGCATTTCTACGAAAAAGCAAAAATGATTGAACACGACTGAAAAGGCAGTTGCCGTTGGGTGTTCAAAGTGTAACAAGTCTACTGCAACGAGCTGATCGTCGGTTGAGGACTGGAGCGCATGCGCTGAAAGCAGCGGTTGAGCTCCCTCAGGCTATGAGTCTTGTCGAAGGGTTAGTGTAAGTGCTTGAAAAATAACCAAGGACTGCAGTTAAGTAGAATCATTTCCCCACATTTCGAGGCATTCCTATAACTCACTCATTCGGCCACTTGCCACATGTAGCCGCCTGTTGTTCAGATCTTCAAACAGACCTAGTTGCAAAACTCGCACGAATAGAGCTACAATGAAGAGTAGCTGGAGGCCAAATGCTCTTTTGAACTTTAGATTCCGTGCACATTGTAGCATTAGCTGTTTTGCAGATGTGCAAAGTAATGCATCTTAGTTAGGCGCCCGTAATCATGACAATTGTGCAGCGCATTAAACACGTAGTTGCATGAAAATGTGAATAATGCAAACAAAAGAAGCCGCATACTTCTGGACTGTTCACTGAGCGTTTTAATTAAGGATGTTAACGGCCGTGTCTGTGGGTGTTGTGGGGACTTGGCGCGGCACCGGCACTCCCCTTATCGACCCACGTGGACTAAACAATGCATACTGCGAGTTCAGAAATCAAAAATTATTATATTCCACGCAAAAATGTAGCGGATTGCTTTCTTTATTGCTTCCCCGCACTCCAGAAGGGCTGGGCTGCGGGGCTGCGGGAGTGTCACTGGACATGCGCGAAGGTGGAGAAGGCTTGTGAGGGCCGCGTCAGATCTGTTCTTTCTGTCTGTTTATCACTAAATTAATTGAAGCGAGGCGTAAAAAACAAAAGGAGGATTGTTTCAACCCAGCACCTCTCTTCGCGGCGGGGGCAGCTCCACCCCCGCGGTCTCTGTCCTTCTCTGTCCTTCCCAGCCTGTCCAAACCCCGAGCCTAAACGCCCAAGGTTTCCTTAACCTGTAGTGGAACTTCTGTTTATCTCGTTTGGTGTCGCTGAGATCCTTTCCCCGTTCGTCCACTCTGCAGGGGCCCCCATTTAAGGCTCCCCCCCTTGTTCTTAGCGAAAAGGCTGTCGTTAGTCCCTTCCTGCATGCATTGTGTAGGCCTTTCCTTCCGCACTTGTTGTCTTTGTACCTTTCGCTTTTCCGATGCTTTCAACGCCGGGGGCCCCTTCGGCCCCTGTTGCTGCTCCGGGCCCCTGGGGGGCCCCCGCGGGCCCCCTGGGTCGTGTCTACGGCCCCCGCAACGTCTTGTACGTGCGCAACCTCTCTCCTCTGGTTACAGAAGAACATTTGAAGGCAATTTTTTCGCACTGTTCGGAGCTGCTGCGCGTGGAGTTTAAGGCGCTGCCGGGGGCCGCCGGTCGATACTGCGAGTTGGAGTTTGCAGACAGCGCTGGAGTCACTGCAGCTTCCCAGCTAAACGGCACGGAGCTGCTGGGCCTGCCCATGCAGGTTTCTGTGCTGAACCCCGTGGGCCCAGCGGCTGCGGGGGCCCCGGGGCCCCCCGGGCCTGCAGAGAACCTCATGCGGCTTGCGACGCCCTTGCCCGCGCCCCCTGTTGCTGCTGCTCCCGTCGTCATTCCTCCTCCCGTGCAGCCGATAGGGGGGATAGCAGCAGCAGCAGCGGCTGCTGCTGCTGCTGCTGCAGGAGTGGCGGGGGCTCCCAACCCCTTGCTGGGGGCCCCTGCGGCCTTGGGGCTCGCAGCGGCAAATCCTGCTCTCGCTGCTGCTGCTGCTGCTGCTGCACTCCCTGGAGCTGCTGCCTCGCTGCTGCCTGTCGCCATGGGAGCGGCTGCTCCCGTAACTGCTGTTGAGATCGCCATGCAGAACCACCTCGCGAACCTCCAGGTGAACCTCTTTTGCTGCTCTTGCTGCTGCACAGAAGCTGCTGCTGCTGCTGCTGCACAAGGTGTCTGCGTTCCGGCTTGGTTTAGCTGTGGCTTTGCCACTTGCCTGCTGCGTGGCCCACTCCGAGACATCTACTTTCCTGTTCCCGGGCAGATGAGGAGTTCTCGCTTGTTCAAAGTTTGCTGCCTCTTGCTGCACTGCGAAGAAACAGAATGTCTTTGCAAAAGTCTATTTATCTCATCAAAAGCGTGTTCACTGAGCTTTTAATGGCTTCTAGTGGCGAGTTTTTACTCCTGTTTCCATGCTTGTTCCTGTTCTCTTGCTTGTCTTCATGTGTTTCCATAGACCCTCCCCGCTGCCTCTGTTCTTTGCGTCTCAGGCAGTTCAGGCAGCTGCAGCGCAGGCGAAGCAGCTGGCAGCTCGCAAGAAAAGTGAATTGGGAATTGGAGTTGCAGTGACGGCGGTGGACGGCCGGCTTCCTCCCGCCCAGTCTCTCGTTTCGGGGGTGTTGGTTGCGGAGCCCGAAGCTGACCAGTTAGAGAGGACTTGCTTTCTGCAGGGCTTTCCTGATGAAGTGAGCGGCACTTCAAGTGGAACTAAACTCTTATCTTTTGAAATTTGGCTGGGGAACGGAGCTGCGATTCGCACTGGCCGCTGCAGACTCGCGTTGACCTTGCTTGTCAATGTGTTGCTTCCTGTAGTTGTTTCCCTCCGTTTAGCTTTTTAATTCCATTTCTGCCTTGGCGTAGCTGAAGCTCCCTTATTCTTTTCCTTCTTTACTGCATTTGTCTGTGACTTTCTATCTTGTCTCCTGGCCTTTGAAAGCATTGAATTTTCAGCTGAGTAGGTTTCGTGAACGGCGCGCATTCAAGTTCCCTGCTTGCTTACCCTTAACCCTTTAAGCTGCAGCTGGCTAAGCCAAGGCGTTGCAGTATTTTCTGATTTTGTTTTGTGCAGTACGACGAAAATGAACTCAAAATGCTGCTGGCTGACCTAGCTAAAGTCGTCTCCATTAGGCTCTCAACGGACCGCAAGAAACCAAAGTAATCTTTGACGCAAACCCGAGCTCTTATGTCAATTCTTGCAGGCTCACACCAGATTTCATATTCAAGCAGCGTCCGCAGCCTTTTCCTACGAGATTGCTTATTAGTACTCCCCGTGTTAGACCTTTCTCTAACCAGCTTGTCAAGTTTCTGCTGAGTAAGGGTCGAATTTATTTGCTCAGGTTTGCGATCGTTGAATTTGAAAATGCACAAGAGGCGACGGGGATGCTGGCGCTAGATGGGAAGAGCATTGGGCCATCTGTGCTCAAGTACGGACCTTAAACTGCAATTCAATAAGGCAACTTTTTTTCAGTTTTGTTTGATTGCGAAGCATTACCTTTTATTGGCTATCTTCTCTGATATTCATCCAGTTTTTTACTTATCAGCGTGCCCTAGCTCCGCGGCATTTTATGGTTTGTTTTCTTCTTCACCACATAAATTGGCGTCGCTTGCCTTTGCGCGCCCATGCCCGTCTTCGCATTGCTCTTCATCTGTTCTGATTTATCCCTTTGTTTCTTGTTGCCTTCGTCTCATTGCCTCTTGATCTGTAATCTGCTGTTTCCTTCAGGGTAAAGAAATCATCTACTCTAGTTGAGTTCAGAGACCCTGACGGCGTTTTGTTCGAAGTGCCCGCCCCTCCGATCCTCGCGCAGATAAAGCAGCAGCAGCAGCTGCTGCAGTCGCCTGAGCAGCAGAAGGAGCAAATAGAAATACGAGACAAAAGAATAGGTGCGACGCTATAGGGTCTTTTTTGTGTCTTTCTTTTTCTTGAGTCGCCTCTCACTATTCTTTTGTCTATTTGCTTTTGCCTTCTCGCGCTTCCCTCGTTTTCCGTTCACTTTTCAGTCTCCGTGTGTTCATCCTTCCATCTTTCCAAACTGTCTACTATCATTTGCCCGTCTCGTGCGTTTTCAGCGGCTGCAAAAGAACAAATAGAACGGAGGTTGCGTCGGGAGCGGGGCGAGCTGGAGACGGAAAGGGCTCGAGAGCGGTCCGCTGAAAGACAGCGGCAAAAGCAAAGGACTAGCCGAAGCAGCAGCAGGCACACCTCCAGAGGCAAAGAAAGAGACAGAGGAGCGAGCGAAAGAAAAGCGTAAGTGGAGTTCGAACGCCGCAGCACACGAAAGAGCGAACAGCAGCAGCAGCGCAGCGCTGTGCTGCATTTTCTGATTTCCTTTTTTGGCTTTTTCGATGCAGACGCCTCTCGCGCTCGCCGAGCGCGCCCAGTCGCTCTCTGTCTCCTGTTGGAGGCGCTTCGAGGAGTTCATCAGCTGCTGGGGGCCGCAGGGGCTCTGGGGATGGGGGGGCTGAGGAAGAAAGGAGGCCCCTGTTGAGGTCCATTGGGGCTCAAGGAGCAGCAGCAGCACTTAAAGAGAAGCTGCGAAATGCTGCAGAGGCAGAGGCGAAGGAGGGCGGGGAGATGCAGAGGGCAGATCGTTCAGCTTCGCCTCAAACGCGGTCTTCAGTGCAGCGGAAACGATCCCGCAGCATCCGAAGCCGATCCCAAAGTCCTGAAAGACGATCCCACAGCTCCAAGGGGCGCTCCATGAGCCCTAAAAGACGGCCACAAAGCCCGAAAAGAAGATCCGAGAGTCTCAAAAGACGTTCACAATCTCGGAGAAGATCTCCAGAAGACAGAAACATTTCCCCTTCCCCCAGAGGCCGGTCGCCAGTCCCGAGGCGGCGGCTGTCTTCCGAGAGGCGCTCCTTTTCGCCGGGGCCGAGGCGATCCCCAGTGCAGCAGAGGCGATCCCCGATGCAGCAGAGGCGATCCCAGTCCCCACGGCGGCGATCCCCGGCGCAGCAAAGGCGATCCCAGTCGCTCCGGAGACGATCCCCCGCGCAGCAAAGGACTTCGCAGTCTCCGCGGAGACGATCCCCGCTGCCTCCAAAAGATCGATCCCCGTCTCCCAGGAGGCGATCCTCGCTGCAAGACAGGCGATCCCCGTCCCCACGGCGTCGCTCGCAGTCCCCGAGGAGGCGATCCCCGGTGCAGGCGAGGCGATCCCGATCCCCCCGGCGCAGCTCCTTACCGAGACGATCCCCAGTGTCTCCCAGAGACAGACGGGGCAGGTCTCGAAGCCGATCCCTCCCCCGGGGGGGCCCCTCGGGATCGGGATCGGGAATCGGGAAGGCGACGGGGGGCCCCCGATCCCGGTCTGGGTCGCGCAGCAGCGGGGGGCCCCGTGAAAAGGACTACCCAGCTGCAGCAGCAAGAGCAGCTTCCGGCGGAGGCAGCAGAAGAGGCAGCAGCGCTTCTCCCCACAAAAGGCACAATGATGCTTCAGTGTCTCCGTCGCCCCGCAGGAGGGGACGATCCCGATCTTCGTGGAGTCAGGGGAGACGATCCCCGTCGGAGAAGAGACAGTCTTATTCTTCCTCTTCCAGAAGGAGGCCCCCGATCTCCAAGAGGGGCCGCGGGGGCCCCCGAGGCAGCAGCAGCCTCTCCCACTCCCCTGTGTACAGACACAGCAACGTGTCCCCCTCGCCCCCCAGAAAGAGAAGGTCCAGGTCACCTGGGGGGCCCCCCAGGGGAATGCCTCGCCTGTCCCCCGAGTGGGGGCCCCCTGGGGCCTCCCCGTCTTCAAGGGCCCACAGGGTACCCCCTTACTTGCGGGGCCCCTCCCCGCGAAGAGGCGGCCACTTGCCCCACCCTTACTCGGGCAGCAGGGACCGCTCTCTCTCCCCCTCAGAGAGAATTGGGGGGCCCCCCATGGGGAGCATGTCCTCCTTTAAGAGGGGCCGGAGTCCTTCTCTTAGTTTGAGGAGGAGGTCGCCTTCGCCGAGAAGAGGGGAGCTCAGGTCTTGGAGGCGATCCCCGGGATCGTCTTCCCGATCCCCCCCGAGACGATTTCCGTAAGTTCATGAACAATTCTTTTGTGATAAATTCGCTGCTGCCTGCGCTCTGTAGAATGCAGCCAAGACAAGAACTTAGCAACATTTATTGCTCTGTTTGCTGCAGCCGTCGCATGTCCCCCGGAGGCATGGGGCCCTACCCCAGGGGCCCCCCTGTTGCAAACATTCCCTTTAGAGACAGGGAACCTGACTGGCGGGCCAGGGGTTTAATGCCAATGGGGGGCCCCCGTCCGTACCCTAGGGACCTGCGGCAAATCCGCAAAGGCCTTCACCCGGTTCGGGACGAGGGCCCCCCAAGGAGGCTGCAGAAAAGCAGGGGGCCCCCAGCCCCAGCTGTGGATCGCTACAAGAGCCAGAGCAGGTAAGCAGTAAATACGAAAGAGAAGCAAAGCCCCCAAAGAACCCTTTTCAACTTTCAAGGTTTCCAGACATTTGCAAAAGAGGAGGCCTAGCTGCAGCGCGTTTCGCTTGCTGCTGTTGTTCCTGCAGGTCACTAAGCGAGGAGTGCGCAGCTGACCGGGCAAGCTCTGTGGGCTCTCCGCATCCTGCAGCGACAGCAGGGGCAGAGAAAGCAGCAGCAGAGGACGCGGAAGAAAGAAGCTCCACTGCAGGGGGCCCCCGTGCAGAGGGGGCCCCCTCGGCATCACCGGAGAGGGGCCCGCCTTCCTCGCTGCCGCTGCATTCTAGGTTGGGCGACTTGAGACGTAGGCTACAGAGTAAACGGGGGGAGCCTGCTACACAGCAATCGTAAATGATGGCATAAGTGGCACAAAAGGGCATTTACAATATCCATCTTTCCCGTTTCCTTCGCTTTCTGCGTGTTTTTCTGCTCTGTCGCTGCGGCTGAACACCTCTGCCTCCCGTTTCTCTTGTGCTGCTGAGCTTTCTATTTGACTGTGGTCTTCTCTGTGGGTCAACCTAAGGCTTCTGTGGTGCTGCCACTTGCACGGGCGGTGGTGCTCATCCTACGTACCCCGAAGTGCAGCAAGAGGCGGTAGCCGCAGCAGCAGCAGCAGCAGCTGCTGTTGACAGTGTGTACGGTGGACAGGCGAAATGCCTATGGGGGCCAGACAGTTCGTTCCAAAGACTGTGGAGCCCACTCCCGGGCCCCAAGGGATGACCTCGGGGAGCAGGCTCTCGCCTTCCGGTAGTCTTCCCCGTAAGTTGCACTAAGCCCTAGTGCCCAGCCGCCCAGGTCTGCTACAGTACTCTCACCACGCCGCCGCAGCAGCAGAAGCAGCAGCGATCTGCTGCTTGCCAGATGCGCTGTTCACGAATGGGTGATTGGAGCTGCACTTTTGGGGGCTCTAGGGGCTCCCCATACGGGCTTCTTGAGGTGCTTTCTTTTGTAGGCCGCCCTCTGCACTATAATTAGTAGGTCTACGGACTGTGCTACCAAGGAGGACCGCCCGACGAACCTAAATTCTTTGCGAACAACTAGAGTTCCAGTTTCAGAGGCCCTACTTAGCGTATTCTGGGGACCTGTAGTGTTTAGTTGCCCCAAAAGAGTGCATTAGTTCTCCTCTAGTACAGTGTGGCGTGCTGCTGCCGGCAGTCTGTTACGAGGACTGCACTGCTGCAGCAGCTTCATAAAGGCCAACGGTACAAGCAACACTTAAAAAACAAGTCTGTTATTCTACATTTTACAGTTTCGTAGAGCAGATTCGCTCTACGCACTGCATTTTATTTAGTACGTAACTGGCGCACTCAAGTGATCCCCCCACAGGTGTGCGGCGAGGGTTTCCTGAGATTTACAGCTTGCTGCTGCCTATAAAGTCCTTCGAAGGCCATAGGCTGCTGCAGCTTGCGGCCTCGGCTGGCCCCCAAACTGCTGCAGTTAGGGGCCCCAGGGGGGGCGTGGATTGTTTGCGCTGGCCCTCGGGGCTTGCTGGTCGCTTGCAGGGTACCCCTGCAGCCTTGCAAAGGGAGGCCACTCTTTGCTGCTGTTCTTTTCTGGGTTTTGTGGGGCGTGTCTGCTGCTGCACTGCACATTATCGGAGAGTCTGCGGTAACAGCACGCCAAGGGAAGGGTGACCTGCTGCTGCGGGTTTTGCTCCTGCTGCTGCTGCATCTGGGCCCTGGACGGGTCTGTTATGAAAAGACCACTCTTAATTCTCCGCGGCTGATGCCTGCAGGTGACTGGGCTGAGCAGCAGGTCTTCCTGCAGTTTGCTGCAGCTGCTTCTGCGTCTTTTGCCGCCGCTGCTTTTGCTGCTGCAGTTGCTGCAGTTGCTGTCCCTCTTCGAAAGTAAACTGCTCCGGCGTTGGGCAAGAGGCGTTGCTGCTGCCTTCCCCAGTGCATGCTGTCGGCTTAGAACCTTCCATACACTTAAGCCGCCGCAGCAGCTGCTATTGTTGCTGCTGCGCCTGCGGCTGCCACTGCTGCTGTTGTTTTGAGACTGGAGATCATTGACGTCACTTTCGATATCATCAAATGACCATAAGTCAGCATGACACCCCTCCATTTCTACTGGAGGCGCATCTGCTGTTGCTGCTTCCGCTGCATCTGCTGTTGCTGCGGCTGCTGCTTCTGCCTCTGCAGTGGCAGTGTCTTCCAATAAATTGGGGGAACCAGGAGAGGGAAAACAGGAAGCAGCAGCTGCGACGTCGTCCTTGGCAGTGTCAAAATCGGCTTCCTGCTGCGCTGCTGCTATTGCTGCTGCAGCGGCGGTGGTGGGAGGCCACTCTCGCGATGCGCCGTCACTGGCTGCCTCCACTTCTGGAGCTGCAGCAGCAGCAGCAGCAGCTGCTGCAGCTGCAGCTGCAGCTGCACTTGTGTTCCCTACAGCGGACAATGCTGCTTCCCGTGCACCTGCTGCCGTGGCTGCTGCTGCTGCTGCCGTTCCTGCTGTGGGCGCAGCAGCTGCGGGCGCCACGGCCTCGCTTACCCTCAGTGTCTGTTCACTACAATGGAAATAAGAAGGCTCTGTTCCCGTTTCCCGAAGCAGGGGCTGCGTCGGGGGCAGTGTTGATCCTAAAGGGGAGCCAAAGGCTTGTGCTGCAGCAGCCTGAGTGGACTCAGCAGCAGGTGCTGCAGCTGCATCATAATGTGCAGCAGAAACATCTGCAGCAGCACTGGCAGTGGCCCGGCTAGCTTCTACATTGGTGCAAGACAGCAGCAGCAACAATGCCGCCACGTGGTGGCAAATACCAAAAGACCTGTGCAGCCCGCAGCAGCAGCCATGCTGCAAGGCTTGCTGCTGGGAGCTTTGCTGCTGCTGCGGCAGAAAACGCAGGTAAACTGCATGCTGGTGGCTTCCCTCCGAAGCACTTGGAATGCAAGAACCGACCTCCACCGCTGCCTCCCGCACAACTGTGAACAAATGTATCACTCGGAAACTCAAAGACCCTTTAGGAGTTCCTGCACAAGTTCTTGCTGGGGGTTCTTCGGCAGTTCTTCGAGATGCCTTCTCAAGGAAACCCTCAAGATGGCCTTCAAGCGGAACCCATTCAGCGCGCAAGTTGGCGGCTATCTTTTTGCCCTCTCTTTCTAAAGCGGGCCAGGCCCGATACAGCCGACGGTCAGACTGTGCTGCTGTTTCTGCTGCTGCTGCAGCAGCAGAATTGTCAGCCACGGGAGAAGTTGGTGGCTGTAGCCTTACTGTTGCTCCACGAAGAGCAGCTGCAACCGCATGTTCATAAGCTGGACATGTTGCCAACGAGTTCAGTTTCTTTTGTGTTTTCTTGCTATCTAGCTCACTCCGTGGACCTCCCCCCGTAGGCAAATTCATTACAACTTCAACCTTTGATGAGTAGTGGCACGAAAAGCCGCTGTCGCCAGTTGCTGACAGTCTCAAAGATTTGGCATTCTGTTTGCATCGGGAAGAGAAAACAGTGCAGGACAGAACCAATGAAACTGAATGCTGCTGCTGTCGCTGCTGCTGCTGCCGCCGCAGATCAAGTTAAATCCTTACGTGCTCGGCGACGCCCAAGGAACGATTGGGAAACCCGCTGAATGGCTCGCTAGGTATGAAACGCTAATTCATGCAAGGAAAAGAGGTGGAGCAATGATTTTTCTTGTAGATGTCCGCGCCTGTTGATGGACTCACCAACGCCTTTTTGCTTTCCCGTTGAACCACCAAGGCGACTGGTCTCCACTTCAACGCAGTGAAGAGCCGAGATGATTAATCATGAGCTGAATTCAAATAGTATAAACCGCATGTCTGAAAAGGAAAAATAGTTGGGTGAAATCTACACCGTCACATGTTCCACGCGTCGTCAAACCTCCGAAACAGCCACTGCGCAAAGTGGGAAGGAAACGGAGAGGTGAGGCATTAAACGTATTAATTGAAATAAAACATTTAAATCTTATCTCCCTGTGAGCAGAAATCCTGCAGGAGAGATCATTTCAGGCCTGCCGCGGCTAGGATGGGGCCCCCCAACACGGGTCACGAGTTCCACAGTGAGCCTCACTGTGTCATCGACACCACATAAGGAAAAGGCCTATAACTACATTCTATATTAAAGAAATGATATATTTCTAAAGAAGAGCAAATAGCTACGAATTTTAGAGGTAGAATTTGAGACAGCGTCCTTGGGGCAATTTCGGAGCAGCTTTGTACGTATGCCCGTTGGGCTTGTCAGGAACGGACCTCAGCCCGAATTTGGATATTTGGGCGTCACAAGCAGACACATCTGTTATCCTACCGTTCCTGTTGTATAGCGCCTCAACCTCAGCGCTCAATAGTCCCCAACTACTTCACTGCAACTTGAATACTCCCAACCCGTAACTGTAGAGAACCTCTCCATCAGTATGTGCGTCTCCGCTGTGTTAACCTACACTATCCTCCCTTCTGTGCACTCTCTGAAGCTGCTCTCATTGACCTGTCTATAGCCTCGCCTAAATCTGTAGACCGCAATATACAGAGCGCCCCGCATCACGGTTTGCTCAAACGAATAAAAAAGGGGTATTTATGCATTTGAGTTCGGCGCGGCAAACCTGCACGCAGAAACAAGACTTGGGAAACCCCAGGCCCCCAGGAGGCCAAATACCATTAATGAAAAGCCCCACTGCGGCTGTTACGCAGCAGTGGTTCGTTTGCATGCATGTGGATGGCTTTTACATGTCCCATGCATGCTGCTTCACTTCAGTTGTGTGCTTCCAAGCCACGCAGCCCTACAAACAAATCAGGAGCTGCGAACAGCCTTTCGCGTTTCTCTGCATGCATTCACATGTTTTAACTTCCGATGCTGGACGTTTTTATTCGCAGTAAACACCGTCACCACCACCGACCACCGACTCCAAACATCACAGCTTGCCGAGCAAATGGCAAACCGAACCGTAACTACTTCAAACGCAGAATAAAACAGGCAGTTCTCCAACAAAACAACACTCTAAAATTCAAACTGAAATCATGTACTAATCCAGCAAATACGATACCTCCGCTGCACCACCACCGTTTCCTCGCCGCACGACGATGTCGAAGACACATCGTGCGGCCACCCTCAACTTTTGCAAGTACAAAAGACAATTACTTTGAGAAATTAAACAAAATGGTCGCCAGCTTTTCGCCACAAATCGACATCACGGGCGCCATCATGTTATCTGTACACCTGGGCAGAGCTCATTACCCCCAAAGGGACAGTGACCCATCCTCATCAGCTAATTTATTTCCTTGCATGACTGAATTTGTTTCTTCACCACGCCTTCTCCCGTCGTCTGCAGCCACACCCACTGGGCCAGCAGCCGCTCCCTGAAGCTGAACTCCACCGGGACTTAGCAAAAGTCAATTAAGGCTTCGCCGAAAATTACTTTTAAATTCCGTTGACCTCCGCACAAATGCAGAGATTTGAAATTCATGTCCGCCGAGAACTGATGGCCATTTTCGAGATTCCACCCTCCACAATCTCGCCACTCCAGATCCACTCATCTTTTCAATTTCCCATCTTTCAAGCAATTAGGCAGAAGGGAGAAGCCGTTCGCAAAGAAGCGGGGCAGCTCCCTTTTTTCTGCCTCACCTCCCCACAGAGGAGGAGCACAACAAAAAGACATGCACCAAGAGGCCCAATAAGGCTAACAATGTGGGGTTCTCCGTTCAGTGAGATCCGCATTCTAATATGACAACCATCACAAGAATAAGCGAGATTTACACGAACAGGGGCTCAGCTGTCCAACCACCCGTTCTGTCTCTCTGTCTTCCCAGCCTTTACATCATTGTTATAAAACCACCGGGGGAGCGAACCCTGACCCTCCTCGCCCCCACAATCCTCCATGGCTAAAGATGTAAGATGCAAAGTAAAGCACACTTAGGGAAAACGAACAAACGGAAACGGACGCTGCACGCCTTGGTGAGCGTCCCCAGGTCCCGACATCTCAGACCAGCAAACCGTTAACATCGAGGCCACTAAAGCGAAAAAAAAAGAAACAAAGTGAGAAGTAATTCACTATAAAGAAATTTAAAGGATAAGACAAGAGCAAACTATACTTCTCCTCCTTGAAATAAAGATATGCATACGGTCCCAGATGGGCCACTAATTAAATAACATACAACAATGAAAACTTGGACTAAAACAAGAACTCCCGACACATCATTCGGATATGGCATGGCAACAGGTCAGTCCAAACCATCAGCTGTCGCAAGACGGTCCAAATCCACAACCGCATGCTGCTGCTGCTGCTGCTGCTGTGGCTGCTGCTGCAGATGTTCGAATCCTGGTGGAGGTTCTGTGTAGTAGTGAGGCTTTCCAGTCATGTCCGCCAAGCACAGCCTCGTAAGGCTTTCCTCTAGCTGCCTCAGGTTATCTTGTTCAGCAGTAAGGCCCCCCGTGTTGCTGCAGACGGAAGTTCCCGCAGAAATTGCATTGGTGTCTTCCTGCTGCTCGCATGGTCCCACGAGGAGGCCCCCGGCATCCCCTGCAATGGCCCTCAGCAGCAGCAGCTGGCTGACGTCCCATTTGAAGTCGTTGCTGCTGCTGCTGCTGCTGCTGCTGCTGCTGTTCAGTGTCTTTGTAGGCGTTGCTGCGCAGGAGGGGGACCCCAGCTGAAACATATCCGATGCCGAAGCACGCAAGGGCCCCCCGCAGGAACTGAAGCTGCCGCTCGAAGGCCTCAGAGCATCGGAAATGCCTCTGGAGGAGAAGGAGGAGAAGTCGGAAAGCTCATCCGTGGCGGTGGTGCTGTCATCTTGGTAGTTCGTTCCAACTCCCCCCGAGCTGCAGCTGCCTTCCCTCCTGCTGGTGCCTTTGAACAGTTCTTCGTACAAGACAGCGAGCGCGGCGTTGACGGACGCGCAGCTGCTGCTCCTGGGCTGCTGCTGCTGCTGCTGCTGCTGCCTGCTGCTGGAGCCGTTGCGGGAGGAGCGGGGAAACCCCGGGCCACGGTGGCTACCTGTTCCTGTTTCCTTCCAACCCGGCAGAGAGAATGTGCTGCCCCCCCCCCCGCTGGCTGCTGCGGGGGCTGCTGCTACTTGGCCGTGCTGTTTCCGGCGGCGCGTGAGAGTGGCTTCGCTCTCCCGGGCGAAGTCGCGAGAGCCGCTAGCCATTGCAAGCGATCTGTAGTACTTCAGCTCCTGGTACCCGTGGGCGTGGTTGCACTGGGCTTCTTTCTGCGGGCGCATGCACAAGACAAGCCCCGCGCACTTGCAAGTGAAAACTGCTGTGGGGAAACCCCTTCCGCACACTTATATTTCTACGCACTAACCCTCTAAACTGCCCCATAGCACTATTCCCACGAACAGCCACGCAGCTCGGGTATGTTCAGATGTGAACACTTCTGCGCAAACCCCAAACACGAAAAGACACCCTAAATTTGGCTCAGCCCCAAAAAGCGCCCAACCTGGGGGAACAGTGCACAAAATAAAAGTGAAACTGCGGACTCACCTTGCATTTTCCACGAATCCACTTTAGACACATGTTGGTTTTGAACATGTTGGAGGTGTGTCGGATCTCTGCTTTGCTGTGGGCGAATCTGCAGTTCTCGCCTTTGGCTTTGGCGGAGCACGGGGTCCCCGGGTGAATTACTGAAGGGCATAGTTTCGTCTTGTCAAGGTTGGGAGCAGGCCGCAGCTCTTCTATGGAGTGGGCGAAATTGCAGCGCGAACCCAAGTGGCAAGAACCAAGACTAAGACGCGGGCAAATGCGGGTCTTGTGGAATATAGTCTTTCGATTAGCAAGAATGACACCCTTCATTGGGACACCCGTGACGCGCAAAGGCGTTTGCACAATCGCAGAGGAAGGTCGAGATGCTGTTTGCACCTCTTGCCACATTTGGGACTCCATCTCTGAATACTTACCGCGCGTGATCGTCTAAAAAACCAGAAACCAGCAGATCAAATAACAAATACTGCCGCTTTGTGATCAATATTTCCACGCTGGTCCCAACTGAGGGCCAGAAATGGCGCCGAAATCCCGCGGGCGGTGCGGTGGGAAGCCTGGCGCTCTGCTGCGTGCTGGTTTGGAGCAGCAGAGCAAACAAGGAAAATTATGTCAAAGAAGCTTTAAAAGAAAAGTGCAAACAAGGCCGAAGAAAACCAAGGAAGGAGAAATAGTTGAAAACGGCAACTACCCCGCGAAGTGGACTACCCGCAACACGGCAGAAACGGAACGTTGCACGTACACCCAACTAAAAGGAGGGCAAACAAAATACCTCGGTGAAGGGGGCCTATTTATTGCGATTATATTTCAAAACCCAAGCGACATTGGCAACAGAAAAGCCGGACAGCAACAACCGATCAAATGGGCAGGCAAGCAACGCGCCAACGAAAGACCCATGCATTTCCAATCGTTCAAACAC